ATTATTAATAATAAATTAATTAATAAATTTTTATATTATATTTTTAAATTATATAAAATATTTAAAAAAAATTATATTTAATAAAAGATTTATTTTCATTAATACTTTGTAGTAAACTTTTTATTATTTATTATTATATAAATAATAATTAAGTATTATTGTTTATTTTTAAATAAATAATTAAATTAAATATTAAAATAAAAACCTTAAATATTATTTATAAATATTTTATAATAAGAATTAACTAAATTAATTATATAAATTACTTCTTATAAAATTTATATATAATATAACTAAGTACTTAATAAATAATTATAGCTTAGCTTATTTACTTTTATTATATAATTTAGTAATATTAAAAAATAATAAAATTAAGATTTACTATATAAATAATAATATAATATAATATATTTAAAATATATATAAAATTTATTAATAAATTACTACAATATTATAAAAATTTAGTAATATATATTATAAATAATATAATAATAAATAATAAAAAAATACTTTAATATTAAAAATTAAGTTTTAATATTTACTATATATTTATAATTATAATATTTAAGTTATAAGTTAATAAAAAAATATATAAAACTTTACTAAATTAAAAATATTATTAATAATAGTAATATTATATATAAGTTATATTTACTATTATTAATTAAAATATATTTAGTTTTTAATATTATTAATTTAAAAAAATATAAAAATTATAATAATATACTTTAGGAATTAATAAATAATCTTTTTATAATAAAAAAATATATATAATTAAAGAAATCCTTAATTATAAAAAAAAAAACCTAAATTTATAATATTAAATAGAAAATTTAATTTAATAAATATAATAAATAATAAAAAAAGTTAGATTTTATTTAAAAAATTATAATTAATAAATATAAATTTTTTTTTAAAAAATTAAAAGAAAAAAGTAAATAATTTTTTAAAATTTATTATTTACTTTTTTTTTATTTACTTTTTATAATAAACTAGCTTTTTACTAAATAAAATATTATTTTTATAAAAAAAAATTAAGTTAAAATTATTATAAAACTTAAATATTAATTTTAGTTTTTTAATAATTAAAAAGTAATTTATAAATTTTTTTTTTAATTATAAAGTAATAATTTATTTAAAAATTCTATTATAAATATTAAAAGTTTTAAATTACTTATAATAGTAACTATATAATAGCTTTATTTTAGCTAAATATTAATTAATTATTAATATTATTATTTTCTTTAGCTTTTTTAAAAAATTTTATAAAGTCTTTTTTTTAAATAACTTTTAAATAAAAATTAATTATTTTATAACTAAAAATATTTAACTTAGTAAAAGCTTTTTTATTAATATAAGAAAGCTATTAACTAATTAATAATTAATTATTAATTAAAAATTAATAAAAACTTATATTATATTTAATTATAAAAACTTTTATAATAATAAATAATAAATTAATAATATTAATATTAATTTATAAAATATTATAAAATTTAATTTTATTAAATTAAAGGTTTTTAATTATATTTTTACTAATATTATACTTGATAATAATATTTTTTTATATTAAATATTTAACTTTATAAATAATAACTTATATTTTTTTTAAAAATAAACTTATTAACTAATTAATAATTAAAAACTAATAAAAAATTAACTATTTATATTATAATCTTTTTAAATTGAATTATAAATTTACTTAATTATAATTAAAAAATTAATAAATATTTTAAAATAACTTTTATTATTTAGCTTATAGTAAATCTATTTTTTTAAATTATTTATTAAGTAATTTATTAATAAGTTTTTATTAATAAATTAATTAATTATATATATTTTTATTATTATTATAAATAATTAAAAATATAGTTTACTTAATTTTAAATTTAATAAGAAAATTAATATAATATTTTAAATAGTATTAATAAAAAATTTAATAGTTAAATATTTATTAAAAATTAATTAAAAATTAATAATTTATAAAATTATATTTTCTTTAATTATAATAAATATAATAATAATATTTAATAATAGTATTTTATGAATTAATTAATAGCTTAAATATAACTAGCTTATTAATTATTAAATATTATAAAATTTTACTTTTAAGTTAAAAATATATAAAAAAAAAATTTAAAATTCTTTTTATAATTAAAAGAAAGTAAAATTATAATTAATTTAATACTTTAGTAATTAATAAAAAAATAAAAATAAAAAAAAACTTTTACTTAATAATTAATTATTAAATTACTTTTAATTTATTTTTATATTATAATTTTAAAGTACTATAATTACTAAATAATAATTTATATTAAAAAAAATATAAAAAACCTATTTTAAAAAAAAGTAATAATTTATTTTTAATTTACTTTTTATTTATTTTACTAAATTTATAAGAAAAATACTAAATAAACTAAAATTAAGAAAATACTAAGTAATTATATAAGTAATTTATATTAAAGTATTATAATAAAAAAAAGTAAATATATATATAATATTATTTATTTTTTATATATTTTTAATTATATTTTTATTTATTATAAAAATATCTTTAATTTAAAATATATTATTTTAAATAATAAAATAAATTTATAATATAATTATTATAATTATATTTTAAATAATAATACTAAAGGTAAAATATAATTAAATAAAAATTAATATATAAAAAGTAAATTAATAAAAAGAAATTTACTAAAATAGTAAAAGTAATATTTAAAAAAGTTTTATAATATATTTTTCTATAGATTATTTATAAATATTTAATTTTATTATAATAAAATAATTAATAAAATAAAATTATTTAAAAAAATTATAATATTAAATTTAAAATAAAAATATAAATTACTTATATTAATAATATATAATTATTTTAAAATTAAATAAGTATATTAATATAATATTAATTAATATTTTTATAATAATAATATTTTAAACTATTATTTAACTTTTTATTAATAAATAAAAAGTATTTTAAAATAAAAAATATATACTTTATATATTATAATAATTATTTAATAAAAGTTAACTTATTTTTTAATAATTAAAATAATATATAATATTTATAAAAATAAGCTTTATAAATTAATTAACTAAATTATATTTAAAAAAACATATAAAAAAACCTATTTAAAAATACCTAAAAAAAGTTAAGTAATTAAAGTAAATATAATTATTATAAAAAGTAAAAGTAGTTAATTTTAAATATAAATACTTTATTATAAAAGTATTTATATAAAAAAGTAAAAAAAAAAAAAAAAACTAATTTTTAATAAAATATAAAGTAAGAAATTCTCCTTTTTATTATAATTATTATTATTAAATTATATATTTAAATTTATTTTTTTATTTTTAAAACTTAAATTAAATTACTTTATTATTATTTAAATAAAGCTATTATAATTTTTAAATTTAAATATTAAAATCTTTAAAAAAAATTAAATAAATTAATTTATATAAAAAAAAGTATTATAATTGATACTAAGGGTAATATTATAAAAAAAAGTAATATATTAAATACCTAAATACTTTTATTATATAAAAAAGTATTAAAGTTTAAACTATAGCTTTATAATTTAAAAAGTTTATAAAAAAAAAATTTTTTATTTTAAAAAGTTTAAAAATAAATATAATTATCATTAAATACTTAGTTATTAATAAATAATTAAAATATAAATTATTCTTATTTTTAACTTTATTACTCTTTTCTTTATACTTAGTTCTTTAATATTTACTAATATAAACTTAGTATAAGTTTATCCCTTAGGAATCCCTTTTATATTAACTTTATAAAAGCTTAGCTTATTATAATTAATAATATTATAATTATTATTAATTACTAATATTAAGTAAAAAATTAATTTATTAAAAATATTTAAAATATAAAAATTAAGATTAATAAAATTAAATAATATTAATAATTATATTATTTTTAATTTTAAATTTATTAAAAAATAAAAGTATTTTATAAATAATATATTAAAAGTAATAATATAAAGATTATTTTTTTATTAATATTATAATTAATAAAATAATTAATATAATTATTACTTTTTATATTATTAAATTTTATATTTAATTAATATTATTAAGTTAACTAAGGTTAATAAATAATTTATATTAATTTATTTTTTATTAATAAATTAATTTATAATTAATTTAAATATATATTAATTAAGTAATTATAAAGTATTCAAAATATAATATTTAAATTTTTAATAAGTTTTTTAAACTAACTATTTAATAAAAATTAAAAAAAATATTAAATTTAAGTTTTATTATTTAAGTATTATATTTTTGTTATTAAGGTATTACTTTAAGTACCTTAGAAGTTTTTTTAAAAATACCACTTTTTAAAAGTTAAAATTAAATACTTAGAAAATTATAAATAATATTTTAAAAATATAATATAAAGAATTTAGTAATTAAATTAATTATATATATATTTTTTTCTTTTTTTTCTTTTATATATTATATAAAGCTATATAAAGAAATTTTAGTATTTTTAAACTTAGTTTTTTTTAGTTTATTAATTATAATATTAGGTAATATTTTATATAAATAATATATTTACTATATAAATAATTATAAAAATCTTTATATATTATTTTTTATTATATAATAATAAAGAAAATCTAATTTTAATTATAAATAAGATTTTTAAGTTTATTATTTAATAAAAATAAAATATAAAAAGAAATATTAAAGTTTATTATATAAATTCTTTATTTCTTTTCTTAAATTATTTTTACGTATTTTTTTACTATTTTTAAAAGCCTTTTGAAAATTAAGGAGATTTTAAAGTTAATAAACTTACTTTCTAAATTAAGGGAAGTAATACCCTAATAGTAAAAATATAATACCCAAACAGTAATACTTTTAAATTTTACTATATAAAGAATATAAATATTCCTTTACTTTATCTTTATATATTTTTTTACTATTCTTAAAACTTTATTAAAAACCAAGGGTATTTTTAACTTAGTAGGACCTCTTTCCTAATTAGGTTAGATACAGCCTGAATAGCAATACTCTAATATTAGCATTATATTTTATTTTAATTCTACTTTATGAAGTTCTGGCGGTGCCAATACAACATCATGAACCTTTGCCTTTTTCTCTCCTCTTCGCTTTTTCAATTCTAGCCAAGGGTCTTCCTCTACTATTCTTTTCCTCTTACCCCCCTTCCTCTTTTTCGTATGGCTATTCTCGTTTTCAAAGGCAGCTGAAGTAAGAATGCCGGCGGCATCATCTTCGAGGTCGCGTTCTGCTATGCGCTCTAGCTCCTCCTCCCTCTTTTCTTGTATCTTCGATTCCTCTGCCCTCCACTGATCGTAGAGTTTGTGCATTTTGCGCTCTTTGCGAGTGCGATACACTTTCAATCCTAATGCGTCTTTGCCCTCTGCATTCGTGCTGGTTTTCTTCGCAAGCCCTGATACCGGTAGAGCCGCATCAACCCGGCTGGCAAAGGCCCCTAAATTTTCGCCGGGACGAATTTGAAGTTTCTCGTTCGTTACATCGGTAGCCTTCGTAGTCGTTTTGTCGAGTTGACCATCATCCAAGCCTGATCTAATTTTCTCCCCCCCTGCCACAGCCATAATTCTCTTGAATGCTCGCGGTGTGTCATTGCCTCTTAATGAGCTTCTAGCACGCTTCTTTGTGACTCGCTCTCCAGGACTTAATGCAGCTTTTCGTTTGTTTACTGGAAGAGACCGCGCTTTCTCTGTAGGGGCGAGATCGAATCTAACTCCAAGATTAGCCAGTGAAATTTACTCATTATACGCTTGCAAACGAACTCTGCTTCAAATTCGCCCTTTTTTGACTTGTGTTTGTGAGGCATGGTTGTTGACTTGTGGTTGTTGAAAGGAAAATTCTAATAGTAAAAATATGTCCTGCGAATATCGTTCATAGCCTGGCTTGCCTAGTAAAAAAATAAAATCATTCACTAGTGGCATTATTAGCTGTCTAGCTGGGGAAAAAAATATATGTTATTATGCTTCTTTTAGTATAGTAGTGGATAGTGTTATTTTAATACCAATAATTATTATATTTATAATTATATATAATGTTGCATTATATAATACCAGGTAACTGAGCGAAGCGTAATGAGCGGAGTACGTACTTGGCTTGGTATGCCATGCCAAACCTATTGGCGGCCTTGAGCTCACTCAGCACCTACTCGTACTAAATTATCTTCAGCCCTCATAGTTGTTCGCCGGCGCTAACAGCCATTGCTATTTCGCGCCTCTTTCCCTTTGCAACACCATCATCCTCAGCCTCAGTGCAGTCCTCTCCAGACCTATTTCTATCTTGTTCAGCTGCGCCAGAGCCAACAACAAATCTCTCTCCTCGACTATTCTCATCTCTCTCCCTTGTTTGCCTCCCTTATCTTCTCCCATTCAAAGAGCGCTTATGGAACTCGCCCCCTCGCCCAAATCCCTGCCTGAAACAGCCGCCAAGCTAAGGGTCAACACCACACTTCTTCGATAACTTTCCGCCAAACATTTTTCTTTCGATATCCCATCATTTGTCATCCAGCAGTCTTCGAGGCACTACTATCGCGGTCCGACTCTTGATTTGTCCCCCTGCCGCAGCTTCATTATTGCCAACGAACGATCACGCGATCTTAGCCTTACGCAGTCAACAGGACCGTGTCAAATCGGGCTGTGGCAAAGGGAAGCCTGTGTCCATCGAATCGCGCATCATCACCGCCTGCTCGACGAAATTTATCTCACCACACCGACAAGCTTTACAACGACATATTAAACCTAACGCCTGTGGTCCATCGCAATATTCGCACTTGTAGTTGACCATAGCCTGTTCAACTGTGCCTTGCATTTGCTCACCCATTATGAGAGAGGTCAATTTCAGCATCCCCAACGTCAACAAGGCGTCAGTGGGGATTACTACAGCCTTATACGATCGCCGAGCACTCGACTGCACTTCCACTTTACCTCTTATCAACTCACTCAATCATCTTGCCTATCTCACAACATCTTCAGCACGTATTCGCGATATTCTGACCGTTGATGGAGGAATTGAACGTTTGGTGTGTATTCTTAAGCAAGGACGAAATGGAGATATGATGAGCATCTGGAAGTGGAACCTCGCCTTTCAATGTGTTGTCAACATCGGCGTCCGAGGAACAGAGAATGTGCGGACTCGGGTGGTGGAGGCAGACATGGTCCCTGTCATAGCCACGATCCTTGATAACTATATCAAAGTCATAGAACGATGTCGCGAAAAGGCCGATGAACTAAAACAAAAACAGTCTCATGACCATCATCACCGGCACAGGAATCATGACCACCGGCACTCATCTAAAGCTTCTCCTTCATCCCACACCGGCCGTTCCACAATTCACGATGGAGAACCACGAAATGCTACACGACGGGAATCTTCATCAACTCCTGATGCGTCAGAGGCTCTGGCTGGACCATCCGTCACTTCAGTCGGGCAGGGTGTTAATGATGCAACCTCAGCATCTTATTCACATATTTATACCAATATTGACGCAAATCACCTGCCCCCTAGCTCTCATGCGACGGATGTGCCATATGCCGCCACAACGCGGCAAGACACCCACACTCCAGCTCCAGGGCCCCCGATGGCGGATAACCATGATGGATTCGCGCGAGTTTTGCGTGATGTAGACCGCTTAACATCCATATCTACTTTTGGAGCTACTGGCCTGATGACTCAACCAATGTCACCAACAACTCCAGTTCCCTTACTTCAGCTGCGACCACCGACAGTGCGATCTGCAACAAATTTGGATGTCACAGTCGGTCGGTCGCGAAGGCGGCCGTCAATCAGACATCAGAATTCAACAGCTGAATCCGACGATTTCAATGGCGATAGTATGCCCTCTGACGAGGCTCCAGAGACGGAAATCACGGGGGCTGCGGAGATACAGTCCGCTGTGGGAATCCAAGATATCACAATGGATGACAACGAGGCTATCCTAACAGGAGACTCACTCGACCTGACTAATCCTACTGCGTCCGAGGCCCACCAAGATGCCGAGACTTTCAACATTGCTCACCGTTCAAATCTCGATGGGAGCATCAGAGATGATATAACACATACCCCAGTTGCTCCAGTTGGCCTTTCTCCAAGCCGTCCAACCTTAGTCGCTACGCCGCACCCGCCAACTCCGAGTTCTGCCATCCCCCGATATTTGCTTGATCGACACCTCATACCGCATCCACAATTACTATCCGCAATGCCACGCGAAGAAGATGTGCTCATGTCCCTGCAGTTATTGGCGTACGTCTCTAAGTATTGCTGTTTGCGTACATACTTTCAGAAAAGCCATATTGTACCAACCCTTGCAATTGCCAAGGATCTCTTTGCTCTAGATACAGAAGAAGCAGGTGGAGACGAGGAAGTAGCTTCCTCTTCTGCTGACAACGAGACCGACATAGAGGACGAATACTTGCTCGAGGATGACTTCAACTTATTTCCTTTGGTCGAAAAGTTTACTGTTAGGTACCACAGCACGGACATGCAATACTGGGCAGGGGTGGTGATGCGCAACCTATGTCGAAAAGATGACACGCGGGGAGGAATTCGACAGTGCGCATACTATCAATGTGGCAAATGGGAGGAATTCACCCGTCAGTTCGCCAAATGCCGCCGCTGCCGTCGAACAAAGTACTGCAGTAAGGACTGCCAAAAGAGCGCCTGGGCTTTTCATCGTCATTGGTGTGTAGCTGCAACGCAGTGACGACTTTTCGCGTTAAAATGAGCAACTCATCAGTTTCATCGAATTACGGCTTTTTTGGTCAGAGATCTTCATTGGAAAATTGCGAATTCATTACATTATAAAGCGTTTCATTACCGCATAGCATTTCTTCTCGATACCACTGGTTTTTATGGCGTATTAGGTTTTTAATCATGGTGCATGAGTCGTTCCTCTGGTATCGACCTAGCCGTTCAGCTTGGTTCTTTGCCCTCTCCGAGGCTCTCGCGTTACAAAGTCTATACGTTTCATCACGTATGCTCTTTCTCGCGACCATCGTCCTCGGGCACTGGGCAACTACACTGGAATATACGATATATATGCCTGCATACTTACTTATTGTTGCAAGGGCATCAGATGAAAGTCGGGGTCTTCATTGGGTTATTTGTCAATACATCATCCATCTTTGCATCAATTTAGAATACATTTATAAACCAATCGAACAACCAGCATAGCTTGGTACGGTGCAACATGAGCAGTGACGCTATCCATACCTTTACTCGTAGGTTTCTATACTCCTAAGATATAACCTCCAAGTAATGTACATGAAAATGTCATGTAATGTTTCTTTTGAGCCTATTTCCGAAAACATCCACCATGCAACCTGCTGTATCGTTTATGGGTCATAGCACAGAGGTAGAATACTGAGAGACTGGGAACTTTGTCGCGTAGACTCCCTTTTTGATTTACTATTGAAGGCAGAATAGACAAATGTGATATGGAGACCTATGCTCTGCCATGAACAGCAGGTAGGACTTAAAGTTAACTAGCGTGTTAAGCAATATTAATGAGGTCTGAGGCCGATCAACTCCAGGATTGTTGTATTGAGTAAGCATGGCAAAAATAAAGACACTGTATCCACGACCGAACGCACTCCATCAACCAGCCATTGAACCTTTCGGCAAATGGTATGTCAATCAAGGGTGCTTTGCCAGTTTATTTGGAGGCGGCAGCCTTTCTCCTGCTTTTGCCGGGCCGTGATGACTTGGCCTTCATTTTCTTCACATTAAACCTGGAGAGATCACCGGAGCTCATGGCGTCTCCAGATTTTGCATGGCGTTTCTTCCCCCCAAATCCATATTTTTCGTTCTTCTTTTGACGTTTGCCATTCACGGGGCGAGCTCCTGATTGCTGTCGACCAGACCCAGAGCGCTGTGAATGTTTGGCGATTTCGTTGTCCACGCTAACATCAAAGATATCGGCTTCCTTTGTGCCGACATCAGAGCTGTGCTCCTGACGTTCTGTAAAGCGATTCCGGTCAGCAAACTAGCGTATATGGGATACAGATTGAAATATTGTACTCACTTCTTTTGAGTGTTTTAATTTTATCGAGCACCTCACGCTTAGCTTTTTGTCGCTCCTGGAGCTTAGATACCTGTACTTGTTTGCCAAACTTCTTCAAGTCACGAAGTTTGCGAGCTTCAGCTGCCGCCTTCTTAGCGGACGCTTCTTCGACCAACTTCGCCTTGATCTTCTCCATGTGGGCATCCTCCTTGACCATTTCAGCGAAATAGTCCTTTGGTCGAGAAAACGGCACTCCTTCACTGATTAGCCGAGATCGGCCCACGCGTACAGCTTCCAGGCATTGGGAGTAGAAAGCAAGTTCTCGTTGCAGATCATCCGATACGTCGGGTATCGACTCGGTAGTTTGTGCGGATGAGACGACAGACTGGTGGGTGGCGAATGGAACAGTCTTGTCTGTTGGCATGGATATTCTATCGAGCGCCGCGAGGAGAGCAGCCGTGTTGTTAATTGTCAGTCTTGTATGGGGGACAATGTCTTCTTTTTCGTCTTCTTCAAGATCTTCGAGGTCGGAGACAGGGATTTCTTCCTCAACCTCCTCCTCATCTTCATCCTCCTCTTGCTCTACTGCCGCTGGTTTGGACTTCTGTTGGCCAGCTGCTGCTTTTCGTGGCAATCTCTTTTCAAGCTCAATTGAAGATTCAGAAGTGTCGCTCTCATAGATAGCATCGAGGTTCATCTGCGATTGTGTTAGAAGGGGGGTGTGAAAGATGTTGGGCAGAGGATAATTCCAACTTTTTCTTGGTCTTCCTCCACTTCATTATCCGAGGCGCCCTCATCTTCGTCTTCTCGGTCTTTGCTGCCAGCTTTCAGAGCCTTTCTCTTCGCCGTTTCCTTTGCTTTCTTTTGTTGCTTTAGTTTGGCGAAGTCGACTCCTTTTTCAGCGGCCAATGCCGACCGCAGCTTGCTTCTCGTCACCATTTTGAATTCCTTCTGCCGGAGTGATGCACTGCGTTGTGGTGGTGTTTTTTTGCTGTCTATGTGTGTCTTGCAGACAAGCCAGGCCTAGACTTTTGGAAAAATCTCCATATTCTGCCGTTCTAAGCATTTTTTTTCTCCACCGCCTTCAAAGGCGGTGAGGTGCCCTTGGCACATCAAGCAGGTACCTAAGAATAAGTGGGGTAGACGAGCCACGGCGGAGTGGCAGCGGCACCGAAAACCAAAAGTACTTGGGTACCTCTGCGTATCTGGAATCCACATCCAGTTCGTGGTATCATAAAGCATCACGATGAGGAACTAGTAGAAAGAGCAAGCAGAGTTGAGGATGCAGCCCATTGAAGAAGAGAAGGAGGAAGTTTGAATAAATGAACCGGAAATAAAAATATCTCGCCCAATGGCATTCGTACATCTGCCACATACTTCACTGGACAGAGAAGACCACTTGTTTGTCCTGATCCACTGGGTGCTGATGTTTCTACCCTATAATTCAAATGTTCAATGGATTTTGATAACCCGTTTCCTTGCTTTGATCACTGTTGTAGTGATGTGCATCCATTAAGTCTATCCAAGGTATAAATAACACCGTCTAAATAACAATTGAAAAAAAATCCGAGTATGCGCCGGGGAGAACAAAAAAACACCACATGGACTCAATCGCCACTGATTTTTGCATGTCGGAAATACTTCATCCCCACCCAAGCAACAACAACCCATACCCAAGCCATGACGCACGTCAAAGTGATAAGCGCAGGATAGTAGCCCACAATTGGTAGAGTAGGGTCATCTTCAAGCTCAGGCGGTGCATATGGCGTCTTACCTACATCCCATGCCCAGCTCCAGACGTCAAAGCAAGAGCCCATTCCCATAACAAAGACAAACCAAGTTACCGTCAGAACTACCCAGCCCCACCATTCAGTCTCGGAATAGTCCCAGCCTACACCTGGTTGAGGCAGAGTTGAGGCGGAATAGGAGAGCGGGGATTTGGCCTTTTGTCGACGTTCAGTTGCCGTACGTCCAGCATAGTAAGATTCGGATCCCGAGGACAGGGGGAGGCTAGATCGAAGCGACTGAGAAGCATGAGCCCCTAGCTGGATTATGTCTTCCTCATCGGTTGTGAAATTGTACATGTCCGCCTGTCTCTCGCTCCCGCCCATTCCGGCATCGAAACAGGCTGAAGGAGCTGGCGAACCAATAAGATTGAGATTGGGCTGGCAAGGATATTCATTTGTCGGGGATGAGATAGGGGAGATGTTGAGGCCAAGAGCGTTGTGCACCGTGCTTCCAGAACCAGAGGCAGGACCAAAGCGAGTAGATTCAGAAATGGGCGCGTCAGCTATCGCGTCAGTTTCGATGGCCAGCGGCCAATCTCTCCTGTCACGCTGAGCGCCTCGTCCCAGCAGCGCAACTTTCCTGAGCGATCCTCTGCGGCGCCGAGTCTTCTGCTGCTGCACGGCTGCCACCATCGCCCGCACATGGACGGTGGAAGCCTCTGCCTCATCCCTCTGAGCCGCTTCCTGGTCGGCGGATGCGCTCATTGTGTTGGGATTAGAGGATTCGCCATGGCGAGAATGGACTGACAATGCCCGAGGCTCGATGCGCCGACTCTCTAGCGCAATGTTGGGCAGCGCGGATGAATTTGCATAGCTGTCCATAGGGGCTTGCGGTCCCCTTGTGGGTAAACTGTGCGCTGTTGCAACTAGATCTTAAAATACTCCGTAATATGGATTCAATGGGATGGTGGCGGGTGGGGGTGAGGTTTATCCCACCAGGCCAGGCCAGACAGAGCCGAGTCCCCTTTTTGCCAGTTGGCTGGGGACGTGAGCTGTACCTGACGGGAGAGATGGAGTCGCAGGGGACCTTAATCAACAAGCCGGAGATGCCCTTGTACCCTGTAAATTATCAACATTCCCTACTAACATGAATAGAGTACCTATGTATAGAATAATCTTTGATCGAGAGAGACCGGAGGAGGTGAATACTTGTGGTGCACTTGGATGCTCACAAGCTCTACTTTACTGTGCTTGGCGCTAAGTGGTGGGTGGTGTCAAGTACGCGCGAATCGTTTTAGACGCAGAAACACACTAAAACCCCGTCAAGTGCACGTTAACTAACAAGCGGGCAGTGCGAAGAGGCATAAACCAACGTTTGGAAAGGCTGGATCTCACAGCTCTTTGGCCACAGGATGCGTCCTAGTCGACGCTCTAGCCAGATAAATCCATGCAAGTGACCGCTTGAGCTCCTACCAGCCCACTGAGGTGGCATTACCTATATAGGAAGAGGCACCAATTTAACCCCCTGACCCTCGTTGTTGCGGCACTGTGCTGGAGGTGTGCTGTCCCTTGCTAGCATTCTGTCGACATCTTGTGTTATCCCCTAATCTTCAAGAGAAGTGGACAACACTCTCACCGCCGCATTTCTTGCGAAGGCACTCATTTCTACCCATTTGCATTCTCATCGTTACAACAGACTCGGCGTCGACTTGCCCATGAATGTCTTTCGTTCATTGTCAGCCCGTCTAGTTTTTTTTAATCACTTTCTATTCTTTTGTGTCTTACTCTTCCCAGCTCTAGTTTCCCGCCTGACCTAGCTCCTCCATGGCAGCGACCTACGATGTCGGCACGAGAGCGTGGCAGCCTGATGCAGCCGAGGGCTGGGTAGCCTCAGAGCTCATCAGCAAGACAGTCGAAGGCACAAAGACAAAGCTAGTCTTCCAGCTCGAGAATGGCGAGGTATGTGCATTATATTTCTACAATATACAATATAGCATACCCTTGGGTAGCTGAGGGAGGGGTAGATGCTAACAACTGGCTATCTAGACTAGGACCGTTGATGTCTCAACGGAAATCTTGCAGAGCGGCGGCTCTGACCCTTCACTGCCGCCGCTCATGAACCCGACTATCCTGGAAGCCAGTGATGACCTCACTAACCTGTCGCATCTTAACGAGCCGGCCGGTATGTAGTCCCTCGAACCCCTCCTCTCCCAATACCCGACCTCTGCTTACAAGGGTGGGCGAACAGTGTTGCAGGCGATTCGATTGCGCTACCTACAAAAGGAAATCTATACCTACAGTGGTATCGTCTTGATAGCAACAAACCCGTTTGCTCGAGTCGACTCTCTCTATGTCCCGGGCATGGTGCAGGTGTACGCGGGGAAGCAGCGTGCAACCCAAGCACCCCACTTGTTTGCAATCGCTGAGGAAGCCTTCATGTATGTCGAGGCCCCTACTTGCGAATTGAACCCGTTGCTAACTGGCTGGTCTTCTCTAGGGACATGGTCCGTGATGGCAAAAACCAAACTGTCGTCGTTTCTGGCGAGTCCGGTGCTGGCAAGACCGTCAGCGCCAAGTATATTATGCGTTACTTCGCTACAAGAGAGTCTCCAGACAACCCTGGTGCTCGCAAGCGAGGAACAGAGCAGATGAGCGAGACGGAGGAACAAATTCTGGCCACCAACCCCATCATGGAAGCGTTTGGTAACGCCAAGACCACCCGAAATGACAACTCATCACGATTCGGTAAATACATTGAAATCATGTTTGACGACCAGAGAAACATTATCGGTGCTAAGATTCGCACCTATCTGTTGGAGCGATCACGTCTCGTATTCCAGCCCCTCAAGGAGCGAAACTACCACATCTTCTACCAGTTGGTTGCAGGCGCCTCAGATGAAGAGCGGGAGGCACTGAGCATTCTTCCAATTGAGCAGTTCGAGTATTTGAACCAGGGAAACTGCCCAACCATTGATGGCGTGGACGACAAGGCTGAATTTGATGCTACAAAGAAATCTCTGTCCACCATTGGCGTATCCGAATCCCAGCAGTCTGATATCTTCAAGCTGCTGGCTGGTTTGCTTCACCTGGGCAATGTCAAAATCACTGCTTCACGAAATGACAGTGTACTTGCTCCAAACGAGCCGTCGCTAGAGCTAGCCTGTGGCATACTTGGCGTCGATGCCGCCGAATTTGCCAAGTGGATCGTAAAGAAGCAGCTCGTAACCCGAGGTGAAAAGATTACATCCAACTTGAGCCAAGCACAGGCTATCGTTGTGCGCGATTCCGTCGCCAAGTTCATTTATTCGAGTTTATTCGATTGGTTGGTTGAGATCATCAACCTCAGTCTTGCGACAGAAGAAGTCCTTAGCCGCGTCACCTCCTTTATCGGTGTACTAGATATTTACGGCTTTGAGCATTTTGCCAAGAACTCATTCGAGCAGTTCTGCATCAACTATGCCAACGAAAAGCTTCAACAAGAGTTTAACCAGCATGTATTCAAGCTTGAACAGGAGGAGTATCTGCGGGAGCAGATCGATTGGACTTTCATCGACTTTTCAGACAACCAGCCCTGTATTGATTTGATTGAAGGCAAGATGGGCATTCTCTCTCTTTTGGACGAAGAGTCTCGTCTTCCCATGGGATCAGATGACCAATTTGTTACCAAGCTCCACCACAATTTCGCAACCGAGAAAAAGCAGCCCTTCTTCAAGAAACCCAGATTTGGCAAGTCGGCCTTTACCGTGTGCCACTATGCCGTTGATGTTACGTATGAATCCGAGGGATTCATCGAGAAGAACCGAGATACCGTGCCGGATGAGCACATGGCAGTCTTGCGCGCCTCGAGCAACTCCTTCCTTAAACAAGTTTTGGATGCTGCATCGGCTGTTCGAGAAAAGGACGTCGCATCGGCTTCGTCAAATGCCGTCAAGCCTGCTGGTGGCAGGAAGATTGGCGTGGCCGTAAACAGGAAACCAACTCTGGGAGGAATCTTCCGATCATCTTTGATAGAGTTGATGAACACCATAAACAACACAGATGTGCACTACATCAGATGCATCAAGCCCAACGAAGCCAAAGAAGCTTGGCAATTTGAAGGACCAATGGTTCTCAGTCAGCTTCGTGCTTGTGGTGTGCTCGAGACTGTTCGTATCAGTACAGCTGGATACCCGACTCGTTGGACTTATGAGGAATTTGCTCTGCGATACTACATGCTTGTCCACTCTAGTCAATTAACCTCTGAAATTCGGCAAATGGCTGATGCTATTTTGACCAAAGCGTTGGGCACCAGCACTGGAAAGGGTCTCGACAAATACCAGCTCGGATTGACCAAGATCTTTTTCCGCGCCGGCATGCTCGCTTTCCTGGAAAATCTACGTACAAACCGCCTCAACGAATGTGCTATCCTCATCCAGAAGAATCTGAGGGCCAAGTATTATCGCCGTCGTTACCTGGAGGCTCGCGAGTCCATTGTTCAGACCCAGGCAGCTATTCGCGCATATATAGCAAGAAAGAAGGCTCTGGAGTTGAGGACCATCCGCGCTGCAACAACCATTCAGCGAGTTTGGCGTGGATACAAGCAGCGCAAGGAGTTCCTACGAATCCGAAAGAACTTGGTTCTGTTCGAGTCAGTCGCCAAGGGCTACCTTCGTAGGAAGAACATTATGGAGACGAGAGTTGGTAATGCTGCGCTCGTCATCCAAAGGGTATGGAGACAACGCACGCAACTTCGCACCTGGAGACAATACCGCAAGAAGGTGATCTTGATTCAAAGCCTTTGGCGTGGACGGAGCGCTCGCAAAGAGTACAAGAAGATGCGAGAAGAGGCCCGCGACCTGAAGCAGATTTCGTATAAGTTGGAGAACAAAGTTGTCGAATTGACCCAAAACCTAGGATCCGTCAAGGAGAAGAACAAGAACTTAATTTCGCAAGTAGAAAGCTACGAGGGCCAGCTCAAATCCTGGAAGAATCGCCACAACGCACTCGAGGCCAGAACAAAGGAATTACAAACGGAGGCCAACCAAGCAGGTATTGCAGTTGCCCGCCTCCAAGCCATGGAAGACGAAATGAAGAAGCTCCAGCAAGCATTCGACGAGTCGACTATGAATATCAAGCGTATGCAGGAAGAAGAACGCGAGCTCAGGGAATCACTTCGCCTAACCAGTTCTGAGCTAGAGACAACCAAAGAAACCAACTTGGAGCGCGAGAGAGATAACATGAGCCTTCGACAGGAACTGGATGCACTTCGGGATGCTCTGGAGCTGGCCAAGCGCACCGGAACGCTCAATGGCGATATCACTAATGGTGTTAGCAATGCGCCAGCGGTGGCCAGCGGACTCATCAATCTCGTCTCATCTAAGAAACCGAAGCGCCGAAGTGCCGGAGCGGAGCCCCGTGAGCTGGATCGCCTGAGCGGAACTTACAATCCTAGACCGGTATCTATGGCTGTCACAAGCACTCTTCATCGCCAAAACCTGTCAGGATCGACCTTCATTCCTGGGGTCGACAACATTGAAATGGAGCTCGAAAGCCTCCTTGCCGATGAGGATGGCCTCAATGAAGAGGTTACCATGGGTCTTATCCGCAACCTAAAGATACCATCACCAAACACAAACCCTCCCCCCTCTGATAAGGAAGTTCTGTTCCCGTCCTATCTCATTAACTTGGTGACGTCCGAAATGTGGAACAATGGATTCGTAAAGGAATCAGAGCGGTTCCTTGCCAATGTCATGCAATCGATTCAGCAAGAGGTCATGCAGCACGATGGCGATGAGGCCATTAACCCTGGCGCATTCTGGCTATCAAACGTCCATGAAATGCTATCCTTTGTCTTCCTGGCTGAAGATTGGTACCAGACACAAAAGACGGATAACTACGAGTATGACCGTCTTCTTGAAATTGTCAAGCACGATCTAGAAAGTCTCGAGTTCAACATTTACCACACCTGGATGAAGGTTCTGAAGAAGAAGCTGCAAAAGATGATTATTCCCGCCATCATAGAATCACAATCGCTACCAGGTTTCATTACTAATGAGAGTAACCGGTTCCTGGGCAAACTATTACAGTCAAATTCTGCGCCGGCGTATAGCATGGACAACCTCCTTAGTCTGCTGAATAGCGTTTTCCGGGCCATGAAGGCGTATTACTTGGAAGATTCAATCATTACTCAAACCATTACGGAGCTGCTCCATCTTGTTGGCGTAACAGCCTTTAATGATTTGCTTATGCGCCGCAACTTCCTGTCGTGGAAGCGAGGTCTTCAGATCAACTACAACATCACTCGCATTGAAGAATGGTGTAAGAGCCATGATATGCCAGAAGGCACGCTGCAGCTTGAGCACTTGATGGTATGACACGAAACCTTTGACAAGGATGAGATGAATCAATTTGCTAACCTCTCTGGACTTTTAGCAAGCAACCAAACTACTTCAACTCAAGAAGGCGACACTGAACGATATTGAAATTATCCAAGACATTTGCTGGATGTATGTTTACTCTTTTTCCTGATCGAGTTTGGCCGTTGCATGTTTTGATGCTAATGGAATTTTAGGCTCTCACCAAACCAGATTCAAAAGCTCCTGAACCAATACCTCGTTGCCGACTACGAGCAGCCCATCAATGGAGAGATTATGAAGGCAGTTGCCTCTCGAGTGACGGAGAAGAGTGATGTCTTGCTTCTTCAGGCGGTTGATATGGAAGACAGTGGTCCATATGAAATTGCAGAGCCCCGTGTCATTACAGCTCTCGAAACATATACCCCATCATGTAAGTCCCAAGATGTACGACACTTGCACAGAGAAAAGATGGCTAATGAATATCCAGGGCTACAAACCCCTCGTCTGAAGCGGTTAGCAGAGATAGTCTCAGCACAAGCTATTGCGCAGCAAGAGAAACTTGAGGCAGGCTCAGTCGACGGTTTCGACAGTCACCAGCAACTGGCTGAGGTCGAGGAATCTGAGACGGAGCAGTAAGCGGAATCGTATTTGGTTGTATATCGACGGGTGATGCATCATATTAGATATGGGGCTTGATAAGACGAAGCATCTGCCAAGAGTTCTGGTGTGCGCATTTAGGGAGTGGGCTGTCGAGGGTTGTAAAAAGGTTTCTGTGTTGTGCTGCAGCGCAACATTTACTTGGGCATTTTTTATGTATAGAGCGGAGCGGGTTTAGTTCTCCCTATTTAGGCAATTGCGCGGTGTCCGCTAGTATCAAATGAAAATAATTACGAGTTACAGTGATTCTGGTAGGGAAAAAAAAAAAAAGATTTTTTTAGGGGTTAATCAAGGTGCGCGAAGAGGGTGGAGTTTGGCCGTGCTTTTGGGCAAATGCAAATACACCTTTTTTATCAATCAAGCCTGGCTGGTATCGACTTTCTCAAGCTGCATCCGCTACCAAAAAATAAGTGAGATTTTCATATCCAACACAATGCGCTCATCACCGAATATCATTATTACCGGTACGCCCGGGGTGGGCAAGACAACGCACAGTGAGATCCTCGCAGAGAGGACCGGCTTGCGACATCTTTCAGTGAATCAAGTGGTGAAAGACAAAGAATGTCATGAGGGCTGGAGCGACGAGTATCAGAGCTGGATTGTGGATGAGGACAAGGTAAGCAAAAGGGAGCCTCACAGCTGCTTAAGACGGGCCAGCGCTAATCTCAGTGAAATGAAAAAATTGCAGCTTCTGGATGAGATTGAAGATGATGTCAAGGCAGGGGGCTGTATAATCGATTGGCATGCCTGTGACCTGTTTCCACGCAGCTGGATCGATCTTGTTGTGGTGCTGCGTGTTGATTCCAAGACGCTCTATGATCGTCTGGAGGCCAGGTAAAAAATTTTCTTCTTCCTCACTTTTCTTCCCCTCCCTTTTCCAGGCAGTGCATTGGCCGGCTAACAAAAGATATACAGAAATTACGCAGAGGCCAAGCTTCAGGAGAACATAGATTCTGAGATTATGGAGGTGCTGCTGCAGGAGGCGCGTGAAGCGTTTGATGAGGAAATCGTGGTTGAGCTCACCAGCAACAGCTCGACGGAGATGGAGTCTAACATAGATAGGATTGAGGCCTGGATCAAGCAGTGGAAGACGGACCATGCCGACTGAAGTACGCATTACATCTTTACGAATTAACGCAAATCGTTGGCCTTGCTACTTCATGTCTTCATCCTAGGGCCATCACCAAGCTTAAAGGGTCTATCTATCTACTCCAGACAGGGGGCTTCAAGGGGCTTCATCTACCACCTCTCATCCATGTGCGCCTCTTTTGGAAGATAGCATATTGATTACTCTCTGCCTTTGCAGAAATGGATGTCTTTGAACATCATCTCTGTGGCAGATTCTTGCTGGCGAGAAACATCGTATCTACTGGTAGTCTATGTATTGTTTCCATCAATAAAAATACATCAATGCGTGGATAATGCGCAAGACAACATCCACACTTGTTGGCTTAAAATACACCGCCATTCATTTCCCATTCATTTCCTCCTGTATCAGTTTGTATTGCTTCCTCGTCTTTGCTCGCCCGGTAACCCATTTGTTAATGGTGCCCAGGAGTCTCGCCAGTCGCAGTGAGAGAAACTCTTGGTATACCCAGGCCAGGGCGAAATACATGAACCCAAGCAGGACTACAAACAAATTATAATCCAAGCTCATGTAGCTCAACTGCATCAAATCGTACAGCCAAGGTGCTGGGCCTGCAATCATGTATACAGTCACTGCTAAACTCAGAATGATGGTTGAGATGAATGGCCCTGCAAAGAGTCAGGTTAGTTGAATTCAATCTTGGCGGGTAATGAATGGTACTCACAGTTCTCCCACAGGGGGTGTCTAAAAGGAGGCCCTGCGTTTAGGATTACTCCGGAGAAAATATACTCGAAGCATGAAACCAAGAACAGTGCAGTATTTTCTGAGCTCTTGATGCTAGTTTCGTCATGGCTCAGCTGCGGCGGCACGTACCAAGACTGCTCCCTAACTGTGACGTATGTGATGGCCTGAATTAGGATGCTGACCCCCATCAACCCGAGCAGAGGGACAAGGACCTTGCGGGAAACAAGGTCTGCCGTTGGTCGCTTTCTGCAAAGCCTTTCGGCCGGCCCGGCCCAGCCCATAAAGATAGCGATTGGAAGGATGAGGAGGAGGTCGATGAAGAGGAATTGAAAGTCTCCCAGATTCGAGCCTTTGGTATAGAGAAAGCTGACCGATGTGAATTGAATTGCCGAGTATAGGCTCATGTACTTGAAACAGCTGAAGCTTGTTACAAGAGCCGCTCGCCCCTCTCTGCCAACCGGTTAATAAGAGATGGATTGAGAGCAGGAAAAGTGTTTAAGCTTACCTGATGACTTCTAGGACACATCGTATGTCGAACACCTGCGATGTGAATGGTGCGGCAACCGAAGCCTCCGCCTGCGATAAGGAAATGCCCACATCCGCAGCCTTCAGAGCGCCGCAGTCGTTCGCGCCATCGCCGCAGAAGCCACAAGAATAATCTATGCTTTGTAACTTCTCGACTAATTCATGTTTTTCATCTGGTGACATCCTAGCGAAAACTTTGCCTTTCACGAGTATCTTGGTAGTTGTTAGACAGCTTCATAACTAACGTCAATGTGAATGAACATACCTTTGATAACAAGTCCGCCGGGGCATAGTCGACTATCCAGCGGAACACATCGCCACTTACAGCTAGAGAATAGTTTTGCATATTGGAAATGTCGTAAGGAAGCGAGATGTCGCCTTCTGGTGGCGCTGGAAGTGGCTGTTCATAATTAGCACAACTTTACCCAAACACAAATGATAGTGGCGGAATTGTCTAGTCTTACCGTCAGACTTGTACTGTCGAGAGAGTAGATGCTATTGTCGATGCTTTCCCATTGCAACTCTGCCGTAGGATCCCGAGAGTCACCTAATTAGGGTCAGCCTAATGTTACGAAAGAGTCCTAGGAATTGCGATCGCTGACCTTGGAGAAATCGGGGAACATAACACTGCGCATGGCGGTCAAGAAGACCGCACTCTCTGGCAACACTGACAGCCGTCAGAATGTTATCACCTGTTACCATCACAGTGGCAATGTTGGAATCTTTGAGTTCCTTCAAAACTCCCGCTGTGCTTGGCTTCAACTTGTTCTCGAAAATGATGAAGCCAATGAAATCAAGATCTCGCTCAACTTCAGTACGGGTCATCTTTTGCGCCTTAACCCAACTCAACCTATTAAGATGTCGTGTTGCGCAGCCGATGACACGATAGCCCTTGTGAGTATAGTAAGAGAGCAACTCATCATAGTCCTTTGGGACTAACAGAAATATTCATTAGTTTGTGGTTTTGGCACGGGCAAGAAAATTGCTACTCACTGCTACTAGGCCGACATATTTCACGCATAGCTTCTGGTGCGCCTTTGACGAATATGTCACCATCTTTCTTCCCAAAGTGTCTCACTATAACGCTGGATCTTCGGAGCTGGGAGACGAATTCAAACGACTTGAGAACGCCTAGTTGTATAGATTTCTATACGCCTGGATTAGCTTGCAATACTCATAGTTATATGTCATCAAAGACTTACATCTGGCGGGGAGGCAATCGAAGGCGAAAGGCTCCCGTATTCTTCATCTTCACCTTCCACGACGTTGTGCTTCCCTTCTTCGAAAGACCAGCCCGTAAACTCGAACATTTTGAGATCCAAGGGATCGCCAACAAGCTCGCCATCAACGGAGCGAAGAGAGTGGCAAGTTGCCATGGCATGGAGAGCGGCTTGCAAGATGCTCTGGAAAGAAAGGCTTGTCTCTCGTTGCTCAAAGAGATGGGGCTCCGAAATTACATCGCTAAATTTATGCTCGTCCACAGAAACAACTCGAACTCCAAGGACGTCCAGGCCGTCTTCTGTTAGCGTGCCTGTCTTGTCGAAGCACATGATATCGAGCTTTCCGCCGACGTTCACTCTCTGTGGGCTGATGCAGAAGATCTTGGCTTTCTTCAAGCGAGTAAGTGCAAAGTTGGTGCCAATAGTCAATGTTGCAGGTAAAGCGGGTGGCACAACAATTGTTATAAGATCAAGGGCACGAACAATGATCAAATGCCACTCCAGCTGCAGCCGGATGAAGTTGATGAAAGAGGCAATAAATCCAAGCAGGGCAACAACAGCCATGACGCTGATATACCTAAATGAATCACGATAAAACTTGAATCCTGAGGGTTTGGGAAACAGCATGGATCGCACGAGAGCACCCTTGGTTGTACTGAATCCGATTCTGACAACCAGCGCCAGAGCAACTGCATCACCGCCAAAATCTTCTTGGGGGCGCCTTGCCCGAATGATTTTTGTTCCACAGAAGAGAAAGTGGCGTGCAACTTCGGGAGAAACAGACGAAGCAGTAAGGTCGAGTTGTGCTAGTGTACTGTCCGTCGCTGGAATTTTTGAAACAGGAACAGATTCTCCTGTAAGCATGCTCTCATTGACGATGCAGTCACCTGTAAGCAACAAGCTGTCGCTGGGAAGCTGAGACAGGTTAGGGTCGCTCAATTCGTAAACATCACCAGGAATAAGATCGCCTGATGATATATATGTCCCTTTGAACGTTTAGCGGTGGCTTGTATCAAACAATTCTGAGTTTACTACTTACAAAACCCATTTCGAAGAACTCGGACGTCGCATTCAAAGCGAGAAATCTCGCGCAGTCGTTTCATTGTCTTCAAACGTCAGATATATATATCCGTGTGAAATTTAGTTGACTGAACAATTGAGACTTACTGCCCGGGTTTCAATGAGGGTCGTCGCTATGCTTCCAACTGACATGACAAAAATGCATATTGCGTAGTAGTAATAAGAATCTAGTGACCAAAGAACGATACTGGCAATCTGGAATATGTAAAATGGATGCAACGCCTGGTTGAATGGTCAGCTTATGATTACAATCAGGAAGGGAAATACAATCTCGTTGCAACTGCTATCAGTAAATCTCTGGGGGAAAAATTGGATATTTACCTCGTCAACAAGCAACTGGCCCATGGATTTTTGCTCGATATCAATAAGATTGTTTCCAAAGATAATCTCGCGAGTCGATTTCTCGTCACTATCAAGACCAGCCCGCACAGCTTGCATATCGGTCCAACTGGGATCTTTCCATCCACTCAACAGAACGAATTTATCTTTGAGAGGGTGGTAACAGAATCGAACGTAACGGTAATTAAGCGATCGAAGGTCATCGACGACAGGATCATTCTCATCGTCTAGACCATAAGAAAAAGATTTTTCTGGGAGTCCAAATATAGAGGAAAGGGGCTGGCCGTAGTCCTGAATTCGCACTTGTTGAATTTCCATCTCCCCCCACTGATTCTCAATCACAACCCAGCTACAGTCTCTCAGAGGGCAGGCCTGTCCCAAGAGAGAGATGTACAGCCTGGGCATCCATCTGAAGACCAGGTAGGCAATACCTCCAGTCAGAATACACACGGTTATATACGCTATATAGCCTGTGATTCTTGTGCGAAATCCAGCAATTGCAATTGTCAGATCCTCACTCTCCACGTAAACTTTTTGACTGGTGCGATTGAATGGATGTGAGCTAGCATTGGTAATGTTGCTATCTTTGCGAAGAAGATGCGCGTGTACAGAGGTTCGCGATTGCGTCGAGGAACATCGATGAAGCATATAGTCGTGGTTGTAGGCCAGGAAGTCGTCATCCGCGGAATGATCGTCGTCGTCGTCTAGCGGCGATATGGCGAATTCGTGGTTGTCTCCTGGCTGAGTTTAGTACTTTAAGGATGTTTAATAGTATATATCCTTATACCAATATTCCGCACCTATGTCATTGTTCGGTTCATCGTTCTCGTAATAAACGAAGCTGGTTGTTGAATCGGCTCGAGTTCGACGATGGGAAAATGCTGAGACACTGCTTGGAAGACTTTCGGCAATGGGACCAGAGAAGAGCTGTAAAGATAGTGGTTAGCAATTCGTGATAGGGATACTGGGCTTCTTCTCAAGCTTCCACTTGCCTCATCGTGGGCCATCTCGACATCGTCAAAAATGCCCGAGCTACTCTGATTGCTGTCGGGGCGCAAATATGGAGGGCGTGGACGAGCCGGAACAGCAGTCGGCTCACCAGCCGGACGTGCT